CTCATCCAGTTGTCCTCCCTTCAAGCTGCCCGGTCGGACCTGACGTCGATCAAGGTCCTTCAGGAACTCGGGTTCTCGGTGAACTTTCGGAAAAGTCAGACTGTCCCCGCTACCCAAACTTTACACCTGGGTGCCATCATAGACACACTCAGTTGCCAGGTATACCTGTCCCAGGAACGTCAGGACAGTATCCGGACCCTGGTACGCAGGATACGCAGGGAGCGCATAGTGCCACTGGCCCTGCTTTCCCAACTCTTGGGAAAGATGGTCTCATGCATCGCAATAGTGCCTTAGGCCAGACTGCATTCCAGGAGCCTCCAATGGTTCCTCATCCCCTTCCAAAGGTTGGGCACCAGTTCCTCCAACCTCTCAGACTCTGCAGTCTCTTCGGTGGTGGACTTTGCCAGCAGTAACCAGGGGGTCCTCTTTCAAGGAACCCGCCCGGCTCATGCTCACGACAGATGCCAGTCTGTTTGGCTGGGGAGCGCACCTTCAGTCTCAGTTGGCTCAGGGACAATGGTCCCAAGCAGACCTGAAACACAACATCAATTGGTTGGAGCTTAGAGCCATACACCTGGCTCTCTGCCACTTCCGCAGCAGGGTGGCGAGACAACACGGGGTAGTCCTTATGGACAACGTGGCGGCAAAGGCCACGTGAACCAGCAAGGGGGTACCCGATCCAGGTCCCTCATGGCCAAGGCCCAGGCATTGGACTCCTGGGCAGAGACCAACCTGTCCTCCCTCAGGGCCGAGCACATCTCGGGGGAGGCAAACCAGCAAGCGGATTTTTCTAAGCAGGTTCCGAATGGCGCCTGCACCCAGACCTCTTCGCAGAGATTCGGACAACCAGTCGTAGACTTGTTCGCTTCTCCGACGAACTCCAACTCCCGAGATTCTTCTCCTGGTTTCCCTCTCCAGGGGCGGAGAGAGCGGATGCTTTATGTGTTCCCCCCTCTCCCTCTCATCCGCAAGATGCTGCAGGAACGGACGGAGGTTATACTCATGGCCCCATATTGGCCACGGAGGCCGTGGTTCGCCGACCTCGTAAATCTCTCCATATTCCCCCCATGGAGGATTCCCCCGGGTCATGTGTCTCTCAACCAGGGAGTCCTACAACACCCAAAACCCCAGTGGCTGCAGTTAGCTGCCTGGCACTTGAATGCCGGATCCTGACCCGGGAAACATACTCGTCCGGCATGATTTCCATGATTCAGGCCTCCCGATGGCCGGCGACAAATTGCATATATGACTCCATATGGAGGAATTTTTGCAATTGGTGCAAGAGCCGGCAACTAGATGTCTCAGATATGATAATTCCGGGCATCTTGGAATACTTGCTCATGGGCCTCGATAAGGGTTTAGCGCCTAATGCTATCCGCAGGCAGGTTGCGGCATTGTCCAACTTACTTACCTGTGCCAATTGGCTCCCTTGGCCCAGCATCCCAGGATACTCTCCTTTCTCAAGGGCGCCACCAACACAAAACCACCCGTGGTACATAGGTATCCTTCCTGGGAATTGCCCCGGGTCCTACAGGCCCTCACCAAATCGCCGTTTGAGCCTATCAGGTCTTGTGCTCTGAGAGACATGTCTCTCAAGGTTGCCTTCCTGGTTGCTATCACGTCAGCCAGGCACATCTCTTAGCTCGCGGCACTGTCGGTCAGGGAGGACCTCTGCACCTTTCACCAAGACCGGGTGGTCCTCCGACTGGACTCTACCTTCATTACCAAGATCAACACCCTTTTTCATAGGGCCCAAGAGATCGTTTTGCCGGATTTTTGCCCTAATTCATCTCATGCCTTGGAACGGCAGTGGCACACTGGATGTTCGCAGGGCGCTACGTCACTATATCAAGAGAATGGCGCCCTTCCGCAAGTCTGAAGCCCTCTTCGTTTCCTTTCACCATGCCTCTAGTGGACAGAGGCTGTCCACCTCAACCATAGACAGATGGATCAGGGCTTGCATTGTGGAGGCGCACCGGTCACATTTCCTACCCGTACCACGTCATGTCATGGCACATTCTACTCACAGTGCTGCAACCTCCGCGGCATGGCCCACACAGGCTTCCATCGAGGAGGTTTGCAGGGCTATGACATGGTCTTCGCCTTCCCCATTTGTGCGGCATTATAAGATAGACCGGTTTGCATCTGCCAACGCATCCTTTGGAGGGAAGGCCCTTCAGCTGGTGGTTTCTGGGGACATGACTCTGGCCTCCTCTGTTTCCCTCCCATTGGGACAGTGAGGCTTTGGTATGTCCCATTGGTGGATTCTCCATCTCCTGTGCTGAAGAAGGGGCGTTGTTTTACCTGAATGCCTTTTCTCAGTATGGAGATGGAAAATCCACTCCCACTCTTAGTGTCAGTTAGACCCGTGTTAGGGGTCTGGGAGCCAACATGTCGGACTGTCGTCAGTTGCTTTCGCCCTTGTCAAGACTGGGTGTGTCCTTGTCCAGAACAGAACAAGCATGGCAAGTTTGGCTGACTTGGTCTAATGGACAGGAAGACAGAGCTAACCCATTGGTGGATTCTCCATCTCTGTGCTGAGAAAAGGCGTCCAGGTAAGACAACACCCCTTCTAAAATAAAAAGACAGATGAAATACTTGAGAGTTTTAAAAAGTGGCAGTAGGGCTCTATATGAGAAAAAAGAAAAACATTCAAACCCTGGCCTTTTCTTTCTATTTTTCTGATAGAACAATTGCAAACAGAATGTCGTGTCCCTAGTCTGACACACAAATACAGACATGCACAAAGGAGAACAGTTCACAGGCTTTACTTGGTTTGAGTAAATTGCCCCAGTGGCAGGCAGGGCATACAGACGCACACACTATTTCAGACAGTTGCAAATCCCTTGGAAATTTATAACCTGACACCCACCCATTAAGCAAAACTTCTAATAAGCTGAGGTGTTGTCCAGCCCAGAGATTGTAGAGTCTTCAGAGGTTATCAGCAAAAAACAAGGAGCTTCCGTAAGGAAGGAGTCAGGTCACAACAGACAGAGGTTATGACCCTAAAATTTAGTCCCAGTCGGTGCAAGCAATCACCTGGGGGAAGGCCTCGCCTCATAGAGCAGACCTGCGCAGACCTTCTCTGTTCTTGTCCTTCACTCATCACTACCTGCTTTAGAAGAGGCCTTGGATCAAACCCTTCATCTTCTAGTGGTTCCAGCTGCTCCACAGGCTCTGCAGCCAAATCAGTTCCAAGTGCTCTCTGAGGCAGGCTGCTGTTCCATAGGGTACATCATTTCAAAGTCTGGTCATGTGAAACCGGATATCAAACACCGACGCTCAAATAGCAAACATCACTTAAAAAACTGTGTCTTTCCCATGTATTATTTTTCTATGTTGAAGAACAATTTTTCATGTTCAGAAGGTATTTTATGTTTTTTGTTAAATTGATGACCAAATTCATTTATAATTCAATGGAATTTGATAAGGTTCTATAGTGGTCAGCTAACAATGTGTATATATAAAACAGTTAAGAGCTGATTTGATTAAGGAGACAGTCTGATTTATTTTTACATTATTTATATATCAAAATTATAAAAATGCAAATCACTTGATTATTGTATAATGTTGCTTTTCTTGACTGATTGCAAAACTTCTTCAATTAATGTTATATATAGTAATTATTTACAGCTCTAGTGATGCATTATTTAAGTGAAGCTTTGCAGAGACAAAGTGATAGAATCTTGCAAAATAAATTCCTTTATCTTTAAAACTACAAAGGATTTTGTTCAGCATTTGGAATTGAGCCAATTCCTTTACAATGCTAAATATGTTTAGTAAGAATATGCAGAATGTTCTAAGCTCAAAACATTTCGAGATTGAAATGCCAGGAATAGGTATTAAGTTCAAAATATTGGTATTCAAAGAAGTTTCCTCTTACCTTGAAATAAAACCCACTGCTTTGAGTTTGAGACTAAACTGGCCCATTTTTAATTCAGTTTTCACGTTCTGTTTTGTTCTTTGTTTCTTAAGTTGTGATTGGCTTTATTTTCCATTTCCCCTGTCTCCTTTACTATAACAGAGATAGGTCTCTACCTGGTACTGTTGGATAAGACTAATTGAAAGGATAAGGGAATGACAGCAACACAGCAATTATTTAAGCATTTGCTCAGAAGGAGATATGTTGGTTTTGGGTTCCATTTGTTGATATGTCTGGGCCAGTTAATCAGTGCTGTCTTGCTTACAATTAAAGACAATACTGGATAAATGATCCTAAGCATGAAAACTGATAAAAAGTGGTCTCACTTGTCTGATTGTCTTGTACTTTTTCAGATTGTAAGGTATTAAATACATAGACTGTGTTACTTTAATTTGTTAAATGCTGCCAAATTAAGTGTACATTGTACTTATGCATTAGGAAGATAATGTTTGTGCTGTTGTTGTTCATAGGCTCTGAAAAAGCGAATCCATAAAATATCATTCTTTATTGGTTGTTTGTATAAGAAAAGTAAAAAGAATGCATTTGAAAATATATTTTCATTATTTTTGACAGTATTTTTTAATAACCAAAATAACCACAACAAGGGACAGTTTTTCTGTAGGCAAAGTCATACAGAGTCCCCAGCATAGAACACCACCAAACTAATTGAGTGGTTGTGGAGAAAAATGACAGAGCAAAAGGCTTGTTTCATTCTCATTCAGTTCTTCCTGTGGGATAACAATTTTGAGATTTTTATTCCATATGGAATTCAAAACAACATAGAAAACTTTATTCTATGGAGATTTAGCATACTGGAATGTTTTAAAACAAAAAGCCCTTTCTATTTCATACAGTTTTAATATTTATATTATAATAAATAATGCCACATAATATCTCCTACCTATTAACATTTTAAACTTTAGGAACATATTTTTATAAGCCATGTTTATGAATTAAGCAAAATATAATCTGGAATACTATAAATGATAGTATTTTATATACATTTAATATATTGATGATTAATACATTGTCCTATATTTTCTGTCCCTCTCCTTTGTGGTATTTCTATAATTCTTAGACAACATGAAACAGTTATACCAAGTGAACTACCACTTATTCAGGAGGTTACCAGTACACTACGAGAATGGTCCACAATATGGCGACAGCTTTATATTGTAAGTATTGTAGGTTTATTTGGAATGCTTCTTTGTAGGATAACAAAAGAATTTAATCTATAAACCAGCCAAGCTAAAGAAACCAATTAAGTACATGCCAGTGATTTGAAATAATTGCTGAAGAAAAGGAATACGCTTTGCATATTAACTTTCCCAGGTATAAACTCTTTTATTCCTTATTAAAAAGACAATCCATACTGCAGGCCTCTAAATCACAACTACTCTAAACTTACTACTGTTCTACAGTTGTACTAGTAAAAAGGTCTGTGGATTGTCTCTAGTTAAGGAAGTTTAATGTGCTTGTAGAATGGAACTACTGGACAGAATAGGAGAAGTCACCATCTTCTTGGCCATCCTGGTTCATTTTTCTTTATGTCCAGTTGAAATCTACTTCCTTGGAATTTAAATTCATTTGGAACAACTGGAACAATTTGCTTGCCTTCTACATGACAGACTTTCAAATACTTGAATATAGCTATTATGAGTCCCCATAGTCTTTTTTCTCCATGCTAAGCATATTCAAAGCTTTCAATCGTTCCTGTTTGGCTGGTCTCTTCTGAACATGCCTATATATGTCACTGTCCTTCCTAAAGTGTAGTGTCTAGAATGGGACACAATATTATCAGGGCATTCTGACCAATATAGAATATAGAGAAATAGAGAGGAAATTATAGTAGATTAAAAAGACCTGAGGTTAATTTGTGAATTTAATTCTGTAATTTGTGTTAATGTCAAAAATACCCAGAGGATAAAGGCATCCAGATATAGTCAAAACAGTCTTCATTTCTGGATTTCTATGTACATCAGACCTTATACGTGTAATTTTATTGCTGGATATTGCATCAAAAGATTTTTTTATCAAATATTCTTTGTCCTTTCCGGTTGAGGTGAAGAAAATATATCAGTTAACTTGCTTTCTTCTTTTCTTAATGCTGCTTAGTTTTATGCTGTGATGTGTATCGTCTATATATGACTTGGAAGGCACTCCACTATTAATAATTAATTACATAACCTAGATTTGCTTAAACTAACAGTCAACGAATATTAGGTCTTACATCAGACAGCCCAACTAATTGTAACAGAATTCCAACTGTCAGTGAGAGCTTGTTCTGTCTGATTCTATTGTGAGGCATAGATGTCCTCTGTAAGAACTAGTCCCTTTGGATCAAATAATACACCACTGTCAGATAGCTATGTTTTATATGCTATTTAAATCCATACTGCTGATTTTCATTTTTTGCAGTTATTTCTGCACCTTTATATGCATGTAAATTAGCTGGTCCAGCTGAGGATCTTTTGATCATGACTAAGATAATAATTTTGTCATTTCTAATTTCATTAAGGTTATTGTAAGCCTGTATGTCAAATATCTTGTTAAGATGTCATCCCTTGCAGAAGAAAAACAAGTTAAAAGTTTATAAAAATAAATGAGGAATGTAGAATGAAAGAATCACAGCTTTTTTTAAAGTAGCCCACTTGAAATTCCTTCTAATAATAGAGTACAGTACTTGAAACTAAATCAATCTTCTCCCGAAGACTTAATTCAAAATACTCGTTTATAGGTTTGTAGCAAATGAATAATTTGAATTTTTACTGGACTACTGATTCTTGGATCACAGATGAGTTACTTGTGATTGATTTCATGTGTAATATTCCCCATCTGATGAAATATAAATAGTTTGGGATAAAGTGATGACCTGCTGGGTCAAATAATAAAGTTCATGCTGAAGTTATAGAAACTTGCTCCCATACTTACCTTTTACTTCTGATTTACATTGTTCATACAGTGGGGCAAAAAAGTATTTAGTCAGCCACCAATTGTGCAAGTTCTCCCACTTAAAAAGATGAGAGAGGCCTGTAATTGTCATCATAGGTAGACCTCAACTGTGAGAGACAAAATGAGAAAACAAATCCAGACAATCACATTGTCTGATTTGGAAAGAATTTATTTGTAAATTATGGTGGAAAATAAGTATTTGGTCAATATCAAAAGTTCATCTCAATACTCTGTTATATATCCTTTGTTGGCAATGACAGAGGTCAAACGTTTCCTGTAAGTTTTCACAAGGTTGGCACACACTGTTGCTGGTATGTTGGCCCATTCCTCCATGCAGATCTCCTCTAGAGCAGTGATGTTTTGGGGCCGTTGCTGGGCAACACAGAATTTCAACTCCCTCCAAAGGTTTTCTATGGGGTTGAGATCTGGAGACTGGCTAGGCCACTCCAGGACCTTGAAATGCTTCTTACGAAGCCACTCCTTCATTGCCCGGGCAGTGTGTTTGGGATCATTGTCATGCTGAAAGACCCAGCCACATTTTATCTTCAATGCCCTTGCTGATAGAAGGAGGTTTGCACTCAAAATCTCACGATACATGGCCCCATTCATTCTTTCCTGTACACGGATCAGTCGTCCTGGTCCCTTTGCAGAGAAACAGCCCCAAAGCATGATGTTGCTCCCCCATACTTCACAGTAGGTATGGTGTTCTTTGGATGCAACTCAGCATTCTCTCTCCTCCAAACTGTTTGGTAGAACTGTTTCTACCAAACAGTTCTACTTTGGTTTCATCTGACCATATGACATTCTCCCAATCCTCTTCTGGATCATCCAAATGCTCTCTAGCAAACTTCAGACAGGCCCGGACATGTACTGGCTTAAGCAGGGGGACACATCTGGCACTGCAGGATCTGAGTCCCTGGCGGCGTAGTGTGTTACTGATGGTTGCCTTTGTTACGTTGGTCCCAGCTCTCTGCAGGTCATTCACTAGGTGTGGTTCTGGGATTTTTGCTCACCGTTCTTGTGATCATGTTGACCCCACGGGGTGAGATCTTGCGTGGAGCCCCAGATCGAGGGAGATTATCAGTGGTCTTGTATGTCTTCCATTTTCTAATTATTGCTCCGACAATTGATTTCTTCATACCAAGCTGCTTGCCTATTGCAGATTCAGTCTTCCCAGCCCGGTGCAGGTCTACAATTTTGTTTCTGGTGTCCTTCGACAGCTCTTTGGTCTTCACCATAGTGGAGTTTGGAGTGTGACTGTTTGAGGTTGTGGACAGGTGTCTTTTATACTGATAACAAGTTCAAACAGGTGCCATTAATACAGGTAATGAGTGGAGGACAGAGAAGCCTCTTAAAGAAGAAGTTACAGGTCTGTGAGAGCCAGAAATCTTGCTTGTTTGTAGGTGACCAAATACTTATTTTCCACCATAATTTGCAAATAAATTCTTTCCAGATCAGACAATGTGATTGTCTGGATTTGTTTTCTCATTTTGTCTCTCATAGTTGAGGTCTACCTATGATGACAATTACAGGCCTCTCTCATCTTTTTAGGTGGGAGAACTTGCACAATTGGTGGCTGACTAAATACTTTTTTGCCCCACTGTATTTGTATATTTCTACATAAAGAAAGGCGATCATGAGAGAACTAACATGTATTCTTATCAAACAGCAAGACAACAGAGAAATGTTTCGTAATGTAAGACATATGATATATGATCTTATTGAATGGCGATCACAAATACTGTCTGGAACACTTCCCCAAGATGAGCTTAAAGAGCTAAAGAAGAAAGTCACAGCAAAGATTGATTATGGAAACAGGTTTGTGATGACTAGTTTGAAACATGCATATATTTCCTTGTTTTTATTTATTTATTTATTTTTTGCTTTCATGATCTTCACGTTTCTCTTTATGTTCCATATATTATATGTCCATTAAAAACATCTATACTGCAGTATAAATATCATTTACAGAATCGAAGTAGCCTCTTTCTTTATTGCTTAGAGCAGTGTTTCTCAATCTTAACAATTTTAAGGCATGTGGACTTCAACTCCCAGAAATCCACAGCCAGCATTGCTGGCTGTGGAATTCTGGGAGTTGAAGTCCACATGCCTTAAAATTGTCAAGGTTGAGAAACACTGGCTTAGAGAAAGTGTTTTAAGATACAATTTTCCAAATGTATTTTTCTTCCATGCAGAACTCAGCAAAAATAATGTGTAAAGAACTTTTATTTATTACTTGTATATGCAAAATTGTGGTCACTTCAAAACTATTGCTATGCAATGATTTTGGATCTAAATAATATGTTCTAAGATAAAATGCACATGATCAATTAATTAGTTCAGATCCCCAGCTTCAGTAATAAACTACAATTGTCATTTAGATAAGATAACTCTAAATAGATTTCATAAATGCTTGAGAGGTAATAAAATCTATTAACTTTAACTGGCCCATTTGCAAAAAAGATTTTGACCATTTTCAGGACGACCCACATCAAGTTAAAAGACCATAATAAAAATTCTACAATAAATTTAATCACCTGCTTGGCAGTCAGTTGTTCCAATATGTATAAATAATCTCCAGGCTTAAATGGCACATCTGGCTATGCTAAACAATATATCCCAATTAGAAGACAGAATTTCTCAACATATATGTGTATATGTATGTACAGTATGTATGCACGTATATACACACAGACACACACACACACATATATACACACAGATAAATCAATGACCATGTTATTTTTCTGGTTGCTTAGAAGAAAAGTAAATTGTTTCACATAGTCAAATTTGGAAACTTTGCAACATAGCAGTGGTTTTCAGAATGTGTTGATCTGTGAAAGTTTCTTTGGTATTACTAGTGAAATGATAATTATAACTGAACATGTTTTCTTCAAAAGCAGCCCCCTCTTTCTTTACCCCTAGATTTTTTATAATTGCACTTGCATAAATGAGATTTTGAGATACATTTGAGATGACAGTTTGAATTTATCCAAGGCAACATTAAGACTCAGTAAGCCTAGTCAATATCTTGCATGAACTACATTTTTAACATGTTTTAGAGTTCTTGACTGTGTTTTCTCTGAAGCTTGGAAAAGTTTTTATTGTAAGGGGAAAAATAATGGAGACAGACTTACCTTAAGGCAAATAAATTGAAGCACAATTTAAGCATTTTAAACATTTTGCTTTATAATGAGCACATGAAAAGTGGTGGAGAGTACCAGAAGCTGCTTTGTTTATATTTGTTTATTTATTTATTTGGCTTTCTGGAGATCAGTGGAAATTGTTCCCTTTCTGTTTTCCATCCCAGAAATGGTTATAAAAAATTCTGTTAACACCATTATGTTGTAGAACATTTACAGTCAAGATTCAATCTTTTCTTTTTCGTACAATTTACCAGAAGTTGTCAGCATTATTTGTTGGCTATATTAGTTAGCCATCTGGATAAGGCACTAGCTCAATGATGGTGAACCTTTTAGAGACCGAGTGCCCAAACTGCAACCCAAAACCCACTTATGCATCGTTGGGTGCCGGGTGGATGTGGCTCATTGGCTGGGTGTGGCCAATTGGGGGTGTGTGGCCCACTGGGTGGGCGTGGCTGCGATGGTAATGGTAGACTGGGTGGGACTAAAAAGTTCAATCAATCAATTCCAACTTTGCAAGATCTTTTTTTTTCCCGCGAGAAGTTGAAATTAACTGATTGATTGAACCTTTTTTTTTTTTTGCACACGGCAGTGGAGGCCTAAAGCGAAAAGGTTTTATAAAACCCAGCTGAAAGCCTAGGACTGGGGCGACGGCACGCGTGCCCACAGAGAGGGCTCTTAATGCCGCCTCTGGCACCCGTGCCATAGGTTCGCCACCACTGCACTAGCTATTCAACTTCCAGGTGCTAAATGTTGAAACATTATATGTATCTTTTTTTCATTACTGTTTTGACGAAATAATTAAATGATTGCTATGTATCCTTTAGAATTGAGACAACTGAGTTTGAATTTCTGTGAGTATTGTGTACCATAAAATACTGCCATTCTTGTTTAGTGCAAATATGCATTGATGCTTTCCCGCAATGAATCAAACATGAGAATTTCAGTTTGGCTATTTCTAGACATAAACATTTATAATGTCTTTAGTAAATGCTATGTGAAAAATACAGACCACTCTTTCCTTCTTCCATACTTTTTGAGAAATACTGTAAGGTCATTTTTTTAAATACAGGTAGTCTTTGACTTACAACAGTTCATTTAGTGACTGTTCAAAGTTGCCACAGCATTGAAAAAAGCAACTTACAACTGTTTTTCATACTTATGGCCATTGCAGCATCCGCATGGTCACATGATCAAAATCCAGAGGCTTGGCAACTGACTCATCTTTATGACGGTTGCAGTATTCCAGGGTCATGTGATCACTTTTACAACTTCTGACAAGCAAAGCAATGAGGAACCAGAGTCACGTAACAATCATGTCGCTAAACAATTGCAATATTTCACTTAACCATGTGGCAAAAAAGGTTGTAAAATGGGGCAAAATTCACTTAACAAATGTCTCACTTAGCAACAGAAACTTTCGGCCCAATTTTGGTCGTAAGTCAAGAACTGCCTGTATTGTTTTTGTTAGTTTATGTATATTATACCAAAAGACAGATAATTTGTTCAGCCTGTTTCGAAATGTATTGTTTTATTTTGTCTGATATAAGAGTACCAAAAAAGACCTTCAATCGCTCTTCCTCCGACTCCAACTTGAATGTTATATTTTATAACTATTTGGATTGCAGGCAGAGTGACTTGATTGCAGAGTTTTTGAACAGATTTTATGTTAACCGTGGTATTGTTTTGGGTGTTATCCCTTCCATACAGAATTCTCGATTTGGATCTAGTTGTAAGGGATGAAGATGGTAACATATTAGATCCAGATCAAACCAGCACAATTAGCCTATTCAGAGCTCATGAAACAACTTCCAAGCAAGTAGAAGAAAGACTGCTGGAAGAAAAAGTAAGATACAGAATTATTTCTCCCAACTGATGTTATGATAGTATAAGTGGCTGTAAACTATGAATATGCACATGTGTGCGTGTGTGTACACATGTGTTCACATAATACATCCATCCATCCATCCATCCATACATACATACTAAAAGAAACTTTTGTTTTGAATCCAAGTCAAGCAATTGTGTTCTGGAGGTTTCTCAAAACTGTCAGCCATTGTTTTGCAGAACTGGAAATTTACTACTGTTTGCTTAACAATTGTTCAATCTTAGGATGCCTTGTAACGTCTCATTCACACAGTCATATGTCTCATACACACACTGTCGTATGATTGCAGTCTGGGTACTTGGCAACCCATTTGCACTTATGACTAGTTGCCAAGTGTCCCATAATCTTGAGATTGTCATTTGCAATCTTCCCTGTTGGCTTTCCTGGAAAGACAGTGCTTTCTGCTTGGGCCACTACTGTCTATTCTATTTAGGACCAATGGGAATTTGCTGAAATAAATTTGCAAAGGAGCCTCTTCTTGCACAGTCTCAAACTCACTCCTTCTCTCTCTTTTACACACACACAAATACTCTTCTTCCCATTCCTGTGCAGATTCCTTGAGAGGAATCAGATCCACCAATCAGATTCCTAGGGAGGAGGCACATCCTCTGCTTTAGGAATATGCTTGATGGTTTCAACTTTCAGGAAGCCAAGCCAAAGCCAATCTGCTTGATCACAAGAAAGCAGAAGAAAGTGGGGTAGGAGGAATGGCAGATAGAAAGGAGGGAGACCATCAGGAGGGCAAAGAGAAAAAACAGGAGAGGAACAGGAGGAGGAGGGAGTGTACTTTGTTGTTCTATTCTCTCTGGCTCCGTCTTACTCTGATGTACTTTTCCTGCCAAAGACACACATGCTGTTCCTGTTGGGGAGAAAAGTTGGCATCATGCAATAGCAGTGGACGAACTTTTGGAAAGAGCAACCCCCCATCCTCCCACCCTGGGAGACTAGTCTCCTTTGCAAAGTTATTTCAGCAAATTCCTGTCACTCCTAAGTAATTATATACTTGGAGGCAGTGATAAGGTACGCTGCCTGCTGCAGGCAAGTGGGAAAGGCCTGTCATAGGATGCTTCTGACTGTCTCTCTGCTCTGGCATTTAAAACCTGCTTGCAGGGAGCATTGTTGGTGCCATAGCAGAACCTCCTGTGGTCTCCCCCATTTCCCCCACTCCTGAGGCACCTCACATTGTTTACTAGGAACTCTGTCCACTTAACAATCCGTGAGATTTCTTAACCACAACTTCGCTCATTGATCCAGATTCCAGTCCCAATTGTAATTGTAAGTTGAAGATTTCCTGTATAATGGTTTGTTTTCTTCTGGACTGAAGAAAACAAAATATTGTCAGGTGAATAGACACCCCTCTCTACTGTCTATGTTCCCCCTCTCTAGTCTGTTCAGCTTCCAGTATATCATATCCCGCTGGCCTGTCCACTTCTAATAGTTGAAGCTCCTTCCCCACCCTCTGCCCCTTTTCCTCATTTGCTGTTGTCCTTGACTGTTCTCCTGTTTCCCTTAACCATTTCTGTATAAACAAGGGAGTCCCCAATCTTTGTAATTCTTTCTCTCCTTTGCTTCAGGCACTAATGTTTTTAGCTCCGCCACCCCAATGCCCCCACATTTTCCCTTATTGCCCAGAATAAAACATCCTCTGGCCTTCCTAGTATCTCAGTCTGTCTGTATTGTAGCATGTTATATCTGACAACGTGTCTCTGCTCTCAATGTTTCAAGTCCCCCTCCCCTTTTCTCCATGTCCTGCCTTCTCTGAGCCACTTATAATCTTGGCATTTTCTCTTCTTCTTCTCATCAACCATTCTGCCCAAAGCAAAACAGCCACATCTTGTTCCGTGCACGGCACCTAAGCCCCTGAAATAGGCACAATTTAGTTAGGTCTTAGATCATCTGGAATCAGTTTTGCTTTGTAAAAGATACTTCATGCACTGAATATTTTGTATATCTTACAAAAAAGTTAGGGCATATTGCCCTAACTTCACATTTATATTTTCCAAAATACATTATTTGTTTTATCTTGTTGTAGTAGCTTTATATCTTTTTGTAGACTTTGGGGGAATATTGTAGGCAGAACTTGAAGTTTGCATTCATAAATGATAAATTCTATGCTTCGCCAGGATTTGTGTGGATTTGCAAATATGTAATTAGTCTGTTTATTCAGGCACGTAGAAATAGTGAATTGTACTTATTTGAAGTAGCTCTGTAAAATCTACCTGGTTGCTTGGCAGCCATCTTCTTTCACTTTTTACATTTCCACATTTCTTAGAACTGTTCTATATTTAGCAGAGCAGACATAAATGAAATGAAGTTAACTAGGGATTAGTTAATTATACAATTATACCCCAATTGATATACACCTACAAAAGTAGATTTATGTAATTGATTGCATTACTATATATATAACTGTAGTAACTGCAGAATATTGTATAATGTTTCTTTTCTCTCTTGTATTGTAGTCTCAAAAGCAGAATCTTGACATTAGTAGAGAAGCAAAATTTGCTGCAACACCTTCATTTGCATTATTTGTAAATCTGAAAAATGTTGTTTGCAAAATTGGAGAAGATGCTGAAGTCCTTATGTCTTTGTATGATCCTTTGGAATCCAAGTTTATAAGGTCAGTGATTTAATATCAAAGCCATAAAATAGATTTTATGTAATATATATTAACATGGAAAAGACAAAGAGGCTATCTGGGAACCTCTGCTGTTAGTCATTAGCCACAAATTGTCTGTGGAAATTTCCTAAATCATCCTGTCTCCATGAAAGGTTATAGTGTTAATTACCATTTTTATAGTTTGTGGCATTATTGGGACATTCTGGTCCTGTTGTGCTATTTTATAACAACAAGAAGAAAAAGACAAATAACTTTTCTTGTGGAGTTCCCAGTTTGTTTAATATGAGACATAAAAAATGCAATGTTAAAAGGTTTAGAACTTTTATAATGGATATTCAGTATCCTTTGCTTTTGCATTTCGATATAGTAGCTTCACACAAAAGAATAAAATCCATCAAACAAAATCTTCTATGGATTCTTTTTCTGAAAGAGATGGATGTTTTCTCATCCTAGAACAGAATGAGAATGATAATAGTCAACATCACAGGTCTGTTTTGAGATCAGACAGGATGAAAGCTATGAAACAAATGATACATTACAAATATAAATGATTATTAAAATAGGCATAATGCTTTTTGTTTACAATCTGTATTTTAAAAAATTCACATAGTAAGCTGACACATTACTAGAAAATGAATTTGAGAAGGTTGTTTTGAATTTATTTTGTTTTAGACATAGCATGTTGCTAATCTCTTTTTGCTGGTGCATTATGGTGAAAAAAATGAGGCTCTTTGCATTCTGAGAGCATTTTTATTCAGTAACAATTAGAAGAAAAAACTTACTTTGTCTTTATTTCCATGTTTTTATTTAGATCTGAGATATTTGTGTTTTTGCATGTGTCTGTCTGTCTGTCTATCTATCATCTGTATCAGTGATGGCAAACCTTTTAGAGACTGAGTGCCCAAACTGCAACCCAAAACCCACTTATTCATCATCGGGTGCCGGGTGGGTGTGGCCCATTGGCTGGGTGTGGCAATTGGGGGTGTATGGGCCATTGGGTGGGTGTTGCTGCAGTGGTAACGGCCGACTGGATGGGATTAAAAAGTTCAATTAATCAATTCCAACTTTGCAAGATCTTTTTTTTTCCACGAGAAGTTGAAATTGACTGATTGATTGAACCTCTATTTTTTGTACACGGCAGCAGAGGCCTAAAGTGAAAAGGTTTTATAAAACCCAGCTGAAGGCCTAGGACTGGGGCGATGCCGTGCGTAACCACAGAGAGGGCTCTGAATGCCGCCTCTGGCACCCATGCCATAGGTTCGCCACCACTGATCTATATCATCTGTGTCTGTCAGTCTGTCTGTCTGTCTGTCTATCTATCTATCTATCTATCTATCTATCTATCTATCTATCTATCTACCTACTTATCATTACTTAAAAGAAATTTTTTATACATTTTTACTTTATTAATTGTAAACTACCAAGAGTTATTGGCAATCTATAAATTATGCAAATAAAGAAATCTGATTTGCATCAAACTCTGAATAACTCCCTGAGTTTGTTTAAATATAATGTTAACATATTTTAATGTAAAACTGTTTTTGCTTTCATAGTGATTTTATTTTTATTTACATAGTGAAAATTATCTGGTGAGATGGTCAAGTTCTGGTCTACCTAAAGACATAGATAAATTACATAATCTTCGAGCGGTCTTTACGGTAAATATTCTTTTTATATTTGTGATACTTACATTATCCGCTTGCTTCAGTATTTTCCACGTTGTACAAGAATATGTATTTTGCTTACAAAGAGCCTTCGGTTAATTTTTTGGTAGCTCTAGAAAGGGAAAGAGTCCTTTAAATATTATGGAGCTGGGCCTTCCATTCTGGCTCTATAGCAGGCGTGTCAAACTCAATTTCACTGAGGGCTGCATCGGGGGGGGGCTGGGTGGGTGTGGCCATGGTGGGTGTGACCTACTGGGTGGGCGTGGATGGAGTGGGTGTGGCCAGCTCTACATCGTTCATGTCAAGGGTGCCTGTGGAGGCCTGGGAAGGAGTGGGACAGATCTGAGGGTCTCTGGCAAAAGGGGGAGGGACCAGGGTAAGTGCCAAGGCATGGTCCACTGGAGGAGCCTCACTGTTCCTCTCAGGCCATGCGGGGGGGGGGGCTGGATGATGGCATGGGCTGCTTGGAGCCTTGGGCAGCAGAGGTAAAATGCCCAGCCTGGTCCTCGAGCACCCGCGGCACCAAGCCCAGTCCCAGTTCCCCAAGGGGGTACCCAGCTGCACTTACCTCCTCCTCAAGTTTGCTGCTGCTGTGCTTGCTTTCCTTACCCAGGTTGCTCATGATGGGTACAAGGGCAAAATCAGAGGGAGGCCCATTCCCTCTCCATGGGAGGAGACCCAGCTTTGTATCCAAAGCTTCCTTAGCAATAGAATGGGAGACCCCAAGGATAGGCCAGGAGGAGGGGGCAAAGGGATGGTGAAAGGGCAGCAGGGCAGGACTAAGGCAGGACTTCCCTCTCCTTATTTCCTTCTTTCCTTTCTTCCTTCCTAAATACAGAGTGGTGGGAAAGTATTTGAGATAAGGGAGGGAGAAAAACAGGCAAGAAACACAGCTGGGGAGGTGTCACCCTTCGTGAGGAATGAAGAAATGCACCATCGCCTGGAAGTGGCCAGCACATGGCCCTCACCTACTTCACATATCCGGCTTGATGGGCTCTGGGGGAGGGATGCCATGAGCAGCGTGAGAATCAACATTACCTGCGCAATGCTGCCCAGCTCCCAGCCTGCCCGGTTTTTGCAAGCAGCGGGGTGCTCTCCTCACAGCGCCGAGAGGATGAGCCGGGCGGTGCGAAGCTCGTCAGCTTTGCACCTTGCTGCCTGCTGAAAATGGGCAGACTGGGGGCTAGGCAGCATTGCACTTCTCATCAGATTTGCGCCACCTGCCTCAGCTCTTGGTGCTGCGAGGAGAGCGTCCCGCTGCCTGCTGAAACCAGGCAGACTGGGAGCTGGGCAACCTCGTGTTTCTTTGGGGATTTATGCCACCCAGCTCAGCCTCTCGGCGCTGCCTGCCAAAACCCCTCCCCCAGAGCCCATCAAGCCGGGTATGTGAAGTAGGCGAGGGCCATTTTCTGGTCACTTCCAGGCGATGGTGCATTTCTTCATTCCTCACAAAGAGTGACACCTCCCCAGCATGCACCCAGGGGGTGCGGCGAACGAGGCAGGGGGTGGTTCCTCGCTGTTTCCAGATGGCCTTGTGGAGCTAAGACGGAATGCGTTTCAGCATAGATGGCCACCAAAAAATTGTACATTAGCTCCCGAACGGCCTGGCCCAGGACTACGGCAGTGGGGGCTGTTCCCTCACTGTTTCCAGGATGGCTTCGCGGGCCACATGAAACCACTTCGTGGGCTGCATCCGGCCCCCGGGCCTTGTGTTTGACATGTCTGCTCTATAGCATAAATTAAAAGAAAGCCAAAACTAGAAAATTTCGATGACTGAGATAGCTAGGAATATTGGGTCCAAATGTATCTGTTCTTAATAAGGCTAGAACAGTGGTGGCGAACCTATGGCACGCGGGCCAGAGGTGGCACTCCGAGCCCTCTCTGTTGGCACGCACGCTGCCGCTGCCAGCAGCAGGTCCATCAGGTCGCCACCGCCGCCCAGAGCAGCAGCCCCACCCAGCACAAAGGAGGCGAAGCGGCCGACTAGCAAGTTCAAATAGAAGTGGTAGAACAGAGGTCACCAACCATTGTCGATTGGCGGACTGGAAGAAAAGGGAGGGGGAAGTATTTTACATGCATGCATGCGCTCACGGGGCCGCGAGCATGCATGTGCTGCAAATGGGGTGGGGTTAGTTCCTGCATGATACTCACTAGCTCTGCCCTGTTCTTGCATGGTGCAATGCCTTGTATCTGCACCCTGCGGCGCGAGAGAGGCCATTTTTGTGCCTTGCAGCACGTGACCCATTTTTGCGCCAATGGTTTTTGCATGCCAGAGGCGGCACTCAGAGGCGTCTCTCTGCTCCCCCCTGAGGGTACCACAGTGCTGATGTGCCCCTGGCACTTTGCGATAAATAAGTGGGTTTGGGGTTGCGGTTTGGACACTTGGTCTCTAAAAGGTTCGCCATCACTGGGCTAGAAGCTTTGGTAAAATATGACATAAATGATAAAGAGATAGACAAATGGTTTGATGGTAGAAAAAGGCTTCTATTCCTGCAAGTGTTTTTTCCAATTTCTCTGCATATGTACAATGATTAGTCCTAGGTGGAGTTTTCATGCTTTTTCAGGACTGGGGATGTATTTGGAGAAGACTGTCTTAAGCAGATGTGCCTCATAAGCTTTGTTTACTCTTTGTTAATGCATTTAAAATCTACATGGATTTCCCTATGGTGTTATTAAAATAACATTTTCCCCATCCTCCTTCCAAAATAAACAAATCTGAATCCTTTTCACAGTTGGATGGAAAATAGCCTTTTAATCTAGCAAAATTATTCAAGATTCTATATAGTTTTTAAGAGGTCCAAGTAAATATATCCCTTAATTGCCCTTATGAACATTTGGCTGTGTAAAAAGGATTGTCAGAATGAAGAAATGACAGACTAAATAGTAAAACTTCAGTATGAATTGTAAAATAACTGTGTGAGAGAATTTTGTAAAGAAAAAAATTCACATTTCTAGGACCTTGGCAGCAGTAAAGACAGGAAGAGAGAGAAGATCAGTTTTGTGTGTCAGATTGTACGAGTTGGCAGAATGGAACAAAGAGAGAACAACACAAGGAAACTAACTTCTGGGCTACGGCGACCTTTTGGTGTAGCAGGTAATCCATTCTTATATACAGTACATTGTCAAAATGTTTTGCAAATAATAGCAGCTGCTGGGGATTGAGGTGATTTGACCTACTATAGTTTTGAAAGTAATGTTCAATCTTTTTGTAACATATTTTTTGCATACAGGAAGTCCTCAACTTTTGATAGCAATTGGGACTGACATTTCCATCACTAAGTGTCGTGGTTCTAAAGTACGACCACATTGCTTAGTGATGGCAGTCCCTGCACTTTCAGTTGCCATTATTAACTGGATCACACAGTTGTTAAACAAGCAAGTTTTTCTATTAGCTTCCCACATTCAGTGGAAAAGTTGGCAAGAAGTTGCAAATTTCTGACCTGCAGATAGTAAAAGGTTGCAGGACAGGGGAGGAAGGGAGGATGTTGTGAGAACTGCTGCATGGATTGAAGAGGGGATGCGAGGGAGTGTGCAAGAGGTGCTACATGGGTCAGGAAGGTGCATAAGGGTGCCAGGGTATGTGTGAGAGCTGCTGCACAGTGGGTGCACAGGGATCTAAGGAGGAACACAAGTGGCCAGTGCAATGTGAGCACAGTATGACTTGCTATCCAACAGGAACCTACAGTAAGTGGCAATGGGGAGACCAGTTAGCTGAATTCATTGGGCCGAGTAGCTTCTTCCCTTCCTCCTATAAGGGAACCAAACTGTGGCCTTTGCCGTTGGACAGAAGACTGTGGCCAAATCCCCTGTTTCCAAAGTAGAGTGTCATGGTAATGGGGTTCACTCTGACTCAGCTCATTGTTCTTTTGTTTAGGAAAATAGAAAAGATGTAAGGACATTTCAAGAGCCCTTGGATAAGGCATCTGCCTTTCTTATGAAACACAACCGTGGTTTTCTTTTCCTGGCTTTCGCTGATTTCTATTAATTTTAATGCTTTAAGTTTAAAAAAATATTTTATATAGTTATAGATATGGATGTAGACCTTGATATAGATGTATTCATTGGTTAATGCCCTTAAATACCCAATATTACTTCTGAAAGATTCCACCTTGTTTTACTGATATGAGTGAAGTAGGTTTGTCTTTGAACAGAGTAACATTTCTTGCTATAAAATAATTCCAAGCGGTCTGTTATCGTCACTGTTTGCCATGCTTTTCCATTATAACTTAATCCTTAAGGATGCTTGTTTCTCTTTGAATTCAGTGATGGATATAACTGACATAATTAATGGGAAAGTAGATGATGAAGACAAGCAGCACTTCATTCCATTTCAACCGTAAGTGCAAATCAATACAGAAAAGTAATCAGGACTGATAGCCGGAATAGATGGGTTATGATTGTTTGTTAAAAATAAACTCTCAAGGTTTTGAAAATGGGAAGAATAAAAAAAGCTAAAGGGACAGGACAGTTTTGGAAGAAAAAAATGGTTTACTTCAGAACTACATGATTAAGCAATTTCTTCCCCAAAAATTAAATAGCCAGCTCTGATTTTTTTTTTTTGTAAAGTTAAGATAATTTCAGTGTTCCTATAAGTACTGTAGTTCTGTATTGTGAAATAAGTTTGTGAATACATTTTCTATTTGGCTTTGCAGTTAAAAATCTTGAATTGTTAGTACCATTCTTGGATAAGAATCAGAGATGCGGATACCGGACTATTAATAGTTTCAAATATGTACAGTTCATTTTAGAACTGTTTTGTTTCAATAAAATGAGATCTGTGCATAAAATATTTGGACTAAGATGAAAACTTGAATATGAGATTTAAAATACACTATTTTAAATTTAAAGAAAAAAAACATGATCCATGAATGTGAATTGTTTTGATCTTGTAGTAGAAGTTTAGAGAACAGTGATCCTCAGGGTATGATGAAATTTATTTATCAAATCTATTTATCAATTTTTTAAAACTGGAATAAAGTCTATGCTCTATGACTAGTGGCTAATGATAGTGATTGAGTAGAAGAGCATCATTTGTTCCATAAGCTTAATGTGGAACATGTTTGAATTTTTTGTTTTATATACTGTATGTGCAAACATAAATTTATATAAAAATTATATCATAAACATAAACAAATGAACATTACTTGGGTGCATCTATAATAGCATGTGTTGCTTAAATAAAAAGAAAAAAAATAGTATAAATCATGGCAAATTTAAAACTTACCAACTTCAATTCCCAGAATTCCCCAGCCAGCTCTGGGAATTGAAGTCCACAAGTCTTAAATTTGCCAAAGTTGGACACTCTTGGTATAAAATGAAAACCTCAATGAGAGAATAAAATTGAGCTTAAGATAAATGAAACAAAACTCTATTTGCTTAATTAATAACTTCTTAGTGATGTATTCTCAAAGGATACCTATAGTATTATTTTGTGTTATATTATGAATTGTCTGTTTATATATTTTTAAAAGAATACAGGTTAAAAATGAAATGAGGTACTTCCTGGATCTGGGAAATTTTTGAAATAAAGTATTTTCCATTCATGTTTTATAGCTTTCTTTTTATATTATACTCAATTAAATTATTCTTTAGAAAAAGCTTTTATGAAAAATTGAGTTATATACAATTTATGAAGACTTTCCTGTTACTTATTTATTTTGTATTGCATCTTTTTTGTGTTACTTGGTATTTTTCTTTCCATGTGTTGGATTTTGGATGCCAGTGAAACAATATAACAGCTTTCAGTAAGCATGGGGCCAAATTGCTATGGGGTGGTAGATGACATTTTTATAAATACTAGATTTCATTTGTTAACTTCAGTATTTTCATCCTTTCCATCATGTAGCAAAATTGTTTCATGGATTTTCTTGATTGTTTCCAACCAAGAAACTAAGCTACTTTTATTGGTAGTAGCTTTCTGCTCTTTGTTATTTGTCATTAGAATTGTAGTCAATTCATTTCATCCCTGAAAGTGGGCTTTACTGGTCCATGGGGTGGTATGTTTTACATTTTGGTGTTGTTATTTTTATATGTAACTTTTTTCAGGCTTTCCATCTCTATTCTACATACTTCTGTGATAAATCTGGATTGTGTTTTTTTCTGAAATCATAAATTCATTTCTCCTTATCAGTTTCCTGATTGATTATCTTTCTGTGTCTTCCTTTTTTTTCTTTGTCTTGTGCTGACTAACAAATACTCTTTGTCACCTGTGTGATACTCTCTGTTATGTCTTTGTTCTATTGCTTCTGGTTTTCTGCCCCTTCCATCTTTGTTACCTTTTGGTGTTGGTCGTCATGTGCATTCTCCAGGCTAGCATTGGATAACACCATTCGACACAAGCAGTTGAACATATCATCCCGTTTTTCACCCAGGGTGGCAGGGGAGAATGATTTCCTTCAGACTGTAATAAACAAAGTGATTGCTGCTAAAGAAGTTAATCATAAGGGTCAAGGTAGGTATTTTCCTTCCTTTCAATTGTTAGCATTAGCAATGATTAGGAAAGTAATCAATTTTGTACTAAAACTATTGAGTGGTTCTTAACATGGAAAAGTTTTCTTGCTTCTGATTTGCTATTCTTTTGCTCCATGAAGAATGACAATAGTTCTGAAGCCGTGTTTTAAAACAAGCATTTATCATTTTTGCATCTTTCACTGACATGTAAATAATTCATCATCTTATTAATGTGCTTTTCAATTTTTTTACTGTAAAAAAATCTTAATTTGAGATCATGGTTAGTTGACCTTATCAAAAATAATAAATCTATCTGAGCTTTATGTACATATATTTAAGATGCTATATGCTTTTTGTTATTCAGTTTATTATTTAGCGCTGCCTTAATAAAAAATTGGACATGGATGTAGAAACCCTTTTCAAGATATTTTAGAAAGAGCTGCTTGCTTCTTGTAAAAGTTATTTAAAAGTTTATTAAAAGGATTCTTTTTGTTTTTGTCTTAAAGATTATTTTTAAGAAAAAAAAGAATTATGTTATTTTTTTCTGTGTATCACTGCCGCAACTTATTAACTTATAAAATAAACTAAATATGGATTTTTTTAAAAAAAGTAGTGAAATAATTTTATAAGGTCATATTGTCCACAGTTATCAGAATAAAGCCAAATAATAGTGGTTAGTGGATGAACACACAGAAACTCATTTATTCGCCATTATTCTGCAAATGGGTATAGTGTCATAACAGTTTTAAAAAGTCACAGTATTTATAGAGCAAATACAAACTCTGCCAAAATGAGCCCCTGCCCTCTTTAAAATTAGATAATTTTAATATTATTTATGTAAGATTCTTTGGGGGTTGGCTGCCACAAAATTGTAATCTGTACTGTTCAGAAAAGAAAAATATACTTACTCCTTATAGATTAAAAAATGAGTGGTGTAGTGACCTAGTGGTGAAGATGCTCACCTCCCACTAGGAAGGTTGAGGGTTCAATCCTAGGTAGCGGCAGATGTCTCTCTCTAGGGGCACAAAGAAAATATCTGCTAAAAATTCCACATGGCATCAGGAAGGGCATCCGGCCAGAAAATGCTCAACTCCATCCAGTCACCCTGGCTCTATCCCGAATTAAGGGATTAGAGAGTCATTAAAAAAGGGAGAGATTGAATACGGACATTTGATCAATATTTTGTAGCACCACCTTTATGTTAGAAATGCTACATTTTAGTTTTAAAATCTCAGGCTAAATTGTTCATAAATATTGAAAATATTTGTGTACATATATCTAAACAGCTATACTTAAATATTTACTATAGTTTTACTAATTTCATTGGCCCCAGGTATTCTTATTATAAGGTTTATTTATATTGCATAGTCCATGTTGAGTTATTTTGATTCCTTTTTCTCTACATAATGGTCACATTTTTCAAATATGGCATTGTTTTCTCCTTTCTATATTAATATGGATGATGGAAGATACAGGGCTGTCAAACAAGAGGAAGCAGTTCTTTTTGTAATATGTAGTTGAATTATGGATTTAACTTGATCAAAATTAGGATAGCTCCAGCTTAGAAAACAGATTTAAATGAGATAACAATAAAAGTAGGTATTAGTTCTGTTGTCTGAAATCTGTGTTTTCATTCAGGAGAACTATATCTCTGGTTTAATTAAGTAAGAAATAGCAGTCAAATATGGAATGGCTTTATTTAACTACTTAAAATAAATACAGGTAGTCCTCACTCACGACCATTCATTTAGTGACCATTTGAAATTACAAAGGCACTGAAAAAAGTGATTTATGATTGGTTTTCACACTTAGATTGTTGTAGCATCCCCATGATAATATAATTCAATTGATGGTATTTATGACAGTTACACTGTCCTAGAGTCATGTGATCACTATTTTTAACCTGAGCCAGTTTCCGATAAATAAAATCAATGGGGAAGCCAGATTTGCTTAATGACTGCAGGATTCACTTAACTACTGCAGTGATTTACTTAACAACTGTGGGTGAAAGGTTGTAAAATGGGACACAAGTCACTTAACAATTGTTAAGTGACTTGTGTCCCATTGCAATGGAAACTTTGTGATTATAAATTGAGAAGTACCTTTAGATCAGTGGTTCTCAACTTTTGGGTCGCGACCCCATTTGGGGTCGAACGACCATTTTACGGGGGTCGCCAAACAACGCAATCCGCCATTTTTTCCCTCAGGGGGCGGCGCCGCGCATGCGCGCCGCATCCTTATGACCGGGGTCGCCGTATAAAAAGGTTGAGAACCACTGCTTTAGATACTACTTTCTCTGAATTCTGCTTTTATTGTTACATATTAATTTTTTTAAAAAACCAATGCGTTAGACTGTACTGTATATGAAACCCTCAGTTTATGAAATAATATTTTGTACTAAATTCTACAGGTCTGTGGGTGACACTGAAACTTCTTCCAGGAGACATACATCAGATACGAAAAGAATTTCCTCACTTAGTTGATAGAACCACAGCTGTGGCACGGAAAATGGGCTTTCCAGAAATTATTATGCCTGGTAAGACTATACAATGATAAAATTAAAGATGTCGATATAACATAGGCATAGGCTAAGCTATGAAATTGTATTAAATAGTATTTGGAGAAATTAAAAGTTGTTTGTTGTCAAAAATATGAAGTCTGAAATTATTTCAACTCTATTTGGATGATTTAGCATAAAAAAATCTAGTTAAGTTCTATCTTTGAGGTAAAAGGCATAACTCAGTATCTGTATTTGTTTATGAATGTGCTGCATCAATAGGAATCATTTGTCATAGCAGGCCTTCGCTTATTTACAGTGCAGATAATTCTTTAGAAGAGTCATGGTGGCATGTGGTTAGAATGCAGTATTGCAGATTAATTCTGCTGACTGCCAGCGGTTCAATCCTGACCAGCTCAAAGTTGATTCAGCCTTCCATCCTTCCAAGGTCGGTAAAGTGAGGACACAGATTGTTGGGGCAATATGCTGACTCTATAAACTGCTTAGAGAGGGCTGTAAATCACTGTGAAGCAGTATATAAGTCTAATTGCTATTGCTATTGTTATTGTATGTGGGCTGCAAATTATGACCTATTCTTAAAATGTTTTTTTGTGTTAGATGATAGCCTTGAAAGTTACTCTACATTCAACACTCTAAAACACAAGCTCAGAGAAAGTTAAATAAGTGCTGCTATTCTAGCATGCATTTTCTGTAAATGTAGTACTGAAATTATTATAGCGTAGAGGAAAGTGTAAGAAAAAACAGATAACAAACATAAGTCATCGTAATACTTAAAATTTGTTTTCTGTTTTTGTAGGATACTGGCTAATCGTAAAATATTAAATCAGTGAATTGTTCTTCTCTTTTGTTTCCAGGTGATGTCCGTAATGATATTTATGTAACATTAGTTCAAGGAGATTTTGACAAAGGCAGCAAAACTACAGCAAAGAATGTAGAGGTTACAGTGTCTGTTTATGATGAAGATGGGAAAAAATTAGAGGTATTTTTGTGGAAAATTGATACCTGATTTTGGATTAGTTCTAAATGATGTGTGATTGATTGTTCAGATACTTATTAAATCATGGTTAAATATTTTTAAAGCATGAATCTCCCTCCTTTCTCTCTTACACATTTACTGGATAATTTAATGGCACACTTTTCCCATGCTGCCATTTATTTCAAGAATAATAGCTTTATAACTTGAATCCAGAATCTTGTGAAATTACATTACATTATTTGATTTCTTACTAGGTGTAATTATAATTGTATTTATCGTCAGTGGTATTCTCTCTTCTTTGTCAGCATTAAAGATAACTATAGATGACTACAAAGGAGCTTCACAAATCTATTTGATTTTCTCCAAGTGCTGCAGTATTAGAAAACAAGCTCCCTTCATTCTTTTCCTTATTAACAAATTATATGGTAGTTAAAGGTAAACAATATTCCTGAGTTCTTAAGAGTATTTTTCAGCATTATGGCCACAATCAAATCATTGTTACTGTATTTATGACATTTAGCGGGGTGAAAAAAAATCTGAGTATCAGTTCCACTGAAAGCATTTGAATGTGTAAGAAAGCATTTCATGTAGTCCTCGATTACAACCACAACTGACACCAGAATTTCCATTGCTAAATAAAGGTGTTGTTAAGTGAGTCATGCCTGATTTTACGATTTTCTGGACACGGTTGTTAAGCAAATCACTGCAATTGTTAAGTGAATCTTGTAATTGTTAAGTGAATCTGGCTTCCCTCATTGACTGCTTATCAGAAGCCAGCTGAGGAAGGTGACAAATGCAGATCACATGACCCCAGGACACTGCAGTTGTCGTCAGTACATGTCGGTTGCTCAGTGCAAGGACCAGCTGTAGGTCACTTTTTTCAGTCATGTTGTAACTTTGAACGGTTGCTAAAGAAATGGTTGTACATCAAGAACGACCTGTATAAATATGCATATTGTTGTTACATATTTTTAAGATTTTACTTCCCTGTATTACAAAAATGTTTTCGGTGTGCTATTTCTATGCTATTATATCTGAATGTAAAAGCTAATTTTTATTTTGATTGTCTCTTAAATATAATAATATTTTCTCAAACCCTCAACTGCAACACTGATTTCTGCTTTGTTTCCTTCTTTTCAGAATGTGATATTTCCTGGGGCCGGAGATGAAGCTCTTTCAGAATATAAATCTGTTATATATTACCAAGTAAAGCAACCCCGCTGGTTTGAAACTATAAAGGTATGCTTGACATTAAACTTTATTTTTAAAAGAAATGTATAAGAGAGAGATAGAACCTCTTGGTATCAATGCCAGAATAATCTTTCTGTGTTGCTAAGGACTAGTATATTTGAAGTCCTTGACCGATACACATTCTCTCTATCTCTTTCTCTGTATATCTTCCAGTCAAGGCAGCTTGGATATCTTTGTTCCAATATCTGCCTCTTACTTTCCTTGTATTAGATAGCAGAACTATTGTTCTGCTTTGTCCTTGTTTCCTAAACATGTTTTTTTCCCTTAACAACAACAACCCTTTATGGTAGATCAGGCTGAGAGAAGTGACTGGCCAAAAGTCACATGTGAACTTGCCTGGTTGAGGTGGAACCTGCTTTTCCCCGGTATCAGTCTAGCCGTAATGATTGTACCCTACTGTCAATAATGAAAATAGAATAAATATGTGGTTACCCATGAATTTATCCTAAGAAAATCAGATTATTTATTATCCATCTGATTTTAGTATCAGTTTGGTAGGGGGTTCAGATAGGATTCTGTTGTATCACTTGTTAACAATTGTTTTAGCCAAAGGTGCCAGGGATTAAACTTTCGGTATGTAAAGCATGTGGCCTGTCTCTAATTAATATCTTTCCTGAGTTTTAACAGTAATAAAAAGGCTTCTTAGAGAAGATTATCTGGCATAGTGTTTCATTAACATGAATTTTAATTTAGTTTACTAAGCTGTATTAAATAATATTTAATAGTATTAAATATGGTATTAAATATGGTATTATTAAATATGGTATTAAAGATGGTAGAGGACAGGAAGACCTGGAGGAACGTTGTCCATGGGGTCGCGATGGGTCGGACACGACTTCGCAATTAACAACAACAATAAAAATGCCAATCTTTAATAATATGCCAGTAAAGTCAGTACTTCCTTTCTTCTCATATTGCTTTCACCTTGTAAGGAGTGGGATACGCTTATATTCAGCAAAGTTGGGACAGAGTTCTTCACATTTTCAAAGAAAATCAGATAGCCTTGTTTTGAGAAGAAAGCAGATACGAAGTATGAATTTTTTTTCCAAATGAGAAATACATAAGAAATAAAAAAAAATCAATCCTTGTAAGTCCTTGACTTACAACCACAATAGAACCCAAAATTTGTTGTTAAGTGAGACATTTGAGAATTGAGTTTTGTCCCGTTTTATAACCTTTCTTGCCACAGTTGTTAAGTGAATCACTGCAGATATTAAGTTAATAAAGTAGTTGTTAAGTGAATCTAGCTTTCCCATTGATTTTGCTTGTCAGAAGGTTGCAAAAGGTCATCACATGACCCCATGGCACTGGAACCATCATAAATATGAGTCGGCTGCCAAGGATCTGAATTTTAATTTCATGACCATAGGGATGCTGCAATGGTCATAACGGTCATAACTCATTTTTTTCAGTGCTGTTGTAACTTTGAATGGTTACTAAATGAATTGTTGTAAGTCACATACTACCTGTATTTTAGCCACAGAATTTCCATATTCATTACAGATAGTCCTCGACTTACAACAGCTTGTTTAATAACCGTTCAAAGTGACAACGGCACTGAAAAAAGTGACTTATGACCATTTTCACACTTATGACTGTTGTGGCATTCCCATGGTTATGTGATCAAAATTCAGACTCTTGGCAAGTGACTCATATTTATGACAGTTGATGTGTTCTGGGGTCATGTGATCACCTTTTGCGACCTTCTGACAAGCAAAATCAACAGGGAAGCCAGATTCACTTAATAACCATGTTACTAATTTAACCACTGCAACGATTCATTTAACAACTGTGGAAGGAAAAGTCGGAAAATGGGGCAAAACTTACTGAACAAGTGTCTCACTTAGCAACATAAATTTTGGGTTCAATTGTGGTTGTAAGTCGAGTACTAGCTGTGTAGCTTTGTGGTATCATCTAATGGATCATTTTTAAATGATCAGTGACCTATTGCAACCTGACTGATAAAGACAAATATTTGCCATTTTTGGACTGTCACTGTGACCAGTATGCAAGACACTTTGATCACATCCATCATAGCTTTCAGAATTAGTTCAATACATGTAGTGTAGATGTGCAGAGCATTGTCTGATTCAGTTATGTTGGATGAGTTTCAGTTGCTGAAATCAAAGTATGTTGAAAAGATGCTTAGTCAGGCTTGGCCAAACATTTTCATCTTGACTCTTGACATTTTTAGTTTGCTATATTTAATGCAGAGAAACCTAATCTGAACCTAAAGAAAAAACAACTGTTGCTGCTCCTGTCACTCACAAGTCCAGAAATATTTGTATATAATTGATAGTTTTGAACCATTCAGCCCAGTTGCAAGTCTGATTTTGAAAGCGAAATTGCTCTGTTTTTCTAGTGTGATAATCTGCTCTGAAGGAAGATGCGATCATTTTGGTCTCTTAGACTTTTTCTCCATCCCCAAGGCTAAGAACAGCATACACTTATAACTATATTGAATGCATCTGATAGGGTGGGCTGAGATCCACAAACCTTATGAGACAACTCTTTTGCTAGTCTTTTAGGATGACATAAGATTATTAATTTTAGATCTCTCAGGAGCTTTCAGCACTTTCCACTATAGTGTCCTTTCCTACATAGGCTGCTTTAGTTGCAATGTGAAGGCACTATACCACAGTGATTTCTTCTTCACCTTGGTTGGCTATTTTAGAAAGTGATACTTGGAGATTATTATCTTGCTCTGTGGTAATTATGGGAGGGGATTCCAAATATGAAATATCTCTGATTTTTTTTTAAATCTAGAGGAAGCCACTGGAAAGATTATCAATGGATTTGGGATGAAGTATCACCAAAATTCACAAGACTTCCACCTTTACCTTTCTTTTAACTTTCTTCTTACTTGACACAGCAAGACAGCCAACTACCTTAAGCACTGTCTTTTGGGGGTAGGGGAATACATGTGGATTAATAAAATGAAATTGATTCCAGATATGTCTATGTTTACCTCTCCAGTTACGTGGTGATTGTTTCATTTCACAACAGTTTGCTCTTTTCCCAAAAGCGTTTGTTGAATAGCTTGGAATATACTTGTTTTCAACAAATTCAGGGAAACCTGTGCTTTGCAACACTTACTTAGATCTGGTATCTTCCTCCTTGGACTATTGCAGGGAGGAAGGGATGCCTATGAAATTGGTTCAAAAACTTCAGATAGATCAGAATAGAGTGGTTAGGCTACTGACAGAGAATGGCTGATATGAGCATATTATGTCAGTGTTTTGCTATGTATTTTGACTGTGAGTCAGCTTCTAGATGTAATAGTGCTTAAGGCCAGGCTGTCTGAAAGAGGTATCACCTACCATGTTTACTATTGGGGTGATAGAATTTGCACTTGAAGTGCTTCTCTAGCTATTTCTGCTGAATGAGAAATAATGAGTAGCTTTCAGAAAAAGGCCTTTTCTAGGCCAAGCTATGCAGTACTTTTCCTATGGGAGGAAGACTGTTGTGGTATTTTCTGCATCATAATAAAGATCTTTTTATTTTGCCAAATTGAGGAATTACTTTGATGATATACAGTGTAGGTATTTTGTAAATACTATTACTATTGCTACATCTATGCAGTTGCTATTTCCTAGGCAAGGTTTAATATAATGTATTGCTAAAAACAATATAATGTTTTTATATTGACTTATTTTTCAATAAGACTTTTAATGGGTTGTATAGAGAATTTCTGTTAGGTAATATAATATGCTTAATTGTTAAAATATCAAGAATAACATGGCAGCAGTAGTTCGCTGTTGTGAAATTTTTGGGAGATTAATATGATATGAAGTGACCAAGAGAGTTAAAAGTTGACAAACATTTGAAAGACTGAACAATGACAGAAAAAACAAAATTGGGAGCTCTGATGTTTCTTGATAGCAATAAGATTAAACATCTGGATCATAAATGAAAGCATGGTTTAACAAAATAAACATGATGCAGTTAACATCATTCTTTGTGAGGAAGATGAGCAATCTTCCACTGTCTGGGAAAAACACAGAACACCAGAATCTCTCTGCCTTTTAGCTGTTCTAAATTTTTGCTGTTAATAGTATCATTTCACTTTTCTCTGTCACTAGTGATTCAAATACAGAAGGATATTTATTTCATATTTCTGAATTGCAATTTTAGGTATGACTAATTATTGGGTCATAGTAATACAGGAAGGTTGAATCAAAAATATTTTATCATATGCTATATAGAAAAGATACCAAGAGGTTCAGTTCATGGGTAAACTATTAACTCTCTGACCTCTCTTATTAAAGTCTGGACTAGGAATAGCTAATCTAAGGAACAAGAACAGAAATGCTCTTATTAAGAGTATTATTAAAAGAAAAGTACTTAAGGTTACATATATAGAGACATTTTTTAGGCAGTAAAACCTTTTCAATGTATGAGGTCTAGAAGCTTGTCTTTCTTTCTGAAGCAGGGGTCCCTGCTTTGATCATTACAATTCCTTTCAGCGTGCAAAATCTTACATTAGTTCAGTAAAGGTCTAGTGAATGACATACTGACACAGTGAATTACTCATCTGAGGAGTTCTTGACAGCTTAATTCTAGCCTAAATGAAAAGTCAGTCTGGGTTGCAGAACAAAGATTATTTAATGTTTTATTCTGCTTTTTGAAAAAAGTATTGATTCTGTTTTGAGTATTTAGTTGTTGAACCTCTGGAGAAATAAGTTTTCTTATCAAAGAAGTGTTCCTGCTCTTCCAACTAGTCCTATGGTTTCAAATGCTTCAGTAAATGTTGTTTAAAACAACATATTTTTGAAAATGTGATTTTGCTGTTGTCATATCACTTTATAACTTCAAATCTGGAGAAAGGAGAAAATGGGCTACTATTATTCAGGAAGGGAAGTTCCCGTGACAATATTCATTTGCTGGTCCTTTTAAGCAATTAGCTTAAATACTATTAAACATTGTGAGTGTTGAATTGACTGTTACTTTTCTGGATTAGGTAAAAGGTTTTTAGGGTAGTATGCTTGTATGTGTGCTTTGTGTATAATAGCTTGTGTATTTGTGTGTGTGTGTATGTACAAACACAGACACATACAATAGCTGTGTATTTTATATAGTGATTGATCAGATTTAGGCACTGCCCATCTCACTCTCAGAACAACTCTGGATGATATACAATTAAAAAATAATAACATATAAAATATTATATCTCAATAAAATGTTGTATTTCTATAACTTTATCTTTTGTTTTGTGAAGGTTGCAATCCCCATTGAAGATGTAAACCGCAGTCACCTAAGGTTTACGTTCCGGCACAGATCATCACAGGATTGTGAGTAATTCATACCACACTCACTGTTATCTTTTTTTAAAGCTAGCATCTACTTTAAAGAAGATATTTCTTTCTAATTTGAAGTCCTATTCTTTTGGTCTCTTGTCTTGATGCCTTTTCCTATAGTTTCTTCTTCTTTACACTTCTTTAAGTAAAACCAATTAATAATATTGGGTATGTGCTTCCTAGAAGCTGGCATTTGGGTATTTAGGACATTTTTATAGAGAAAATAAACTAACTTGCTTGTATTTTTAATGGGTTGCTGTGATTTTCATTAGTCATGAAGTCTATGGGAAAGCTTGTTAGCATTTTACTTACAAGCCAAGTATTGACTTGTTAATGTTTCTGTTTAAAGTTGTTACATTTCAGTAAGATAAACTGGTATTTAGCTTGTTTCATGTCTTTTATTAATAGAATATGTCTGATTTAACTAATGTTACTGAATCCGCTAAAAACCTAGCTTGAATTTTAATTGTAATATTGGCAGAAAAATCAAAGTTTTAATCATTAATCTTTAGTGTTTATATTTAGAACTTGTAACGTTTGACATTTTCATAATGGTTAGTGCTTATGTAATTAAAGGGTTACTGTTTCGTTGTAAAATTAATCATTGAATGAAAGCAATAATTTTAACAGAAAATGTAACAATTTCACTAATGAAAATGACGTAGTAATTTACTGATATATTTATGGCCATTAACTACAAATTATTTCAGTAGGAAGCATTTGTATTAAGTTGCAGCAGATAGTGGGTGGCCAGAGTGATTAGACTTTAGATTATTATAATCCTCATGCTATAGGGTTAGAACTGCTACAGTGCTTTCTCATACATCTTTTTAGTGCCGCTGGGTTGATCAAGGTTGCCCTTCAAATTTTCCTTCTCATTTTTGTTTGCACTGCAATTTGTCTGCCTTCTGGAAAAAGCTGAGTAACTTTCCTGGATTTTTTTTTTTATGGCCTGTACACCATGGGTTTTAATTGTTTGATGTTTTTATTTTGTTATTGAATAGTCTTATTTAATGAACCACTGAGAGTCCTGCCGTTGTGGTGGAATGTTAGTTTTTTGAATTAATGAGGCACGAATCTTGCTTTACATAAATGTTAAAATATTCTGGTAATGGAAATCAAACTTCATAGCAGAAGTTGATCTTTTGTTCTGCTAAAGTAAAGTTTCAAGTCCTATTCAATGTACAGGTGTTGCTGATTCCATAGACACATACCATGGTTGAAGGTTAGAAGATGGGAAGAAAGAAGGTTGGGAATAGAAAAATTCTTTATGAAAACAATATACTTAGTTCTTGCTTAACAACCACTTGTTCACTGACTGTTTGAGATCATGACATTGCTGAATGAGTAGCACTTACATTCGCTTCGTAAACTCACAGCCATTGCAGTATCCTGGCAGTCAGATGATCAAAATTCCAGCATTGGGCAACCTATCCACATTTATGATTGCAGGGTGCACTTCAATTCCCCCACGTATCTCCCCCATCTTTGCCCTTTTGGCTGCCAGGTATTCTGAAGCCTTGCGCTCTACCACCGTTGTCATCATGTGCTATGCTGTCTGCTTTGCACCTGTGTCGCAAAGGACCAGGCTGGGTGTGCCTCATTAGGTGGGAGGAAGAAGAGGACGAGGGTCATTTCGGGTACAGGGCTCTGTGCACGTGCTCCTACCCTGGCAGCAGCCACCCTCGACCCAAATGTGCTTCAAGGTGCCACAGAAGTTGCTTGTGTACCCTCTCGCCCTGGCAGCAGCCCTCCCCAGCCCAGCTGTGTAAGTGCTGTGTGGTTGCTGTCATGTGGACATCTCGCTGGTTTCTTGTGAGCTGCCTAGTAGTTGTGACTTCCTTTTGGTTTCCCTATTTACTTTGCTTGGAGGAAGCTGATAGGAAATTAGGAAGAGGTTCTTGCTCAATGACTGGCTTAATGGCTTCCTTAACAACGGTAATGGAGACTGTTCAAAATTGTAATCACTAAGCAATGCAGTCACGTGATGTCATACTCTATGACTACATAGCCTAGTAATGAACATTCCAGCCCTAATTGTCACTGATAACTGAGGATTTACCTGAATACATATAACTGCAGTAGACAAGCTTGAAAAAAAAGAGTACTTTCGGTCCATTAGGGAGAAAGAAACTTGTGGTTTAATCCTACACTGTGTGTGTGTGTGTGTGTGTGTGTGTGTGTGTGTGTGTGTGCATGTGTGCACGTGCATAAACAGTGTATGATTTCCTGTGAGTATGCTGTGTTCTAGAGAGAATTATTGAAAGCCTCTGAAGGCTATCTTGACAACACAGAAGAGATTTGGAAGTAATGGAGTGGAGAAGCAACTGCAGAATGATGTAGGCTTCTGTAAAATGACTGTGGCACTCATGATCTGCATACGAATAGTAACATCTTGCTGATAATTATCATTATTACTTGCTTGTGAGAGGGCAGCTTTATAAATTTTATTTATTGATTGATAAATAAATAACATGTAATTTATTACCATAAAATTCTGTTCATTTTAATATGAACATGAATAGTTCCTTAAGATAATCACTATTTTGAAACTATTATTTCTGGTTCAATTATCAGAAAACAGGATGTCAACTTATTCTTTTTTCTTTTTATAATATTTTATTAATTTTCTGTTTTTACAGATCATAAGTGCTTAGTAAACAGCATGTTGTCTGAGTCCATTTTTTACTTAATAATACATATTAAATTCCTAATCTCTACTCCTTTTTTCTGGCCAATGATAAACTATATCTCATATTTGAAATTATTCTATGTCTTCTTTTTCTTTATCCTTCAATATTGATCTGTTCATTTCTACACAGTCTGGTGTTTTCTTGATCTTCTCTTCTTCAGGTAGTGTTTTTTCATTTTTCCAGCACTAAGCAAATACAATTCTTACTACTATCAATATATGGAACATTAAATGTATACTTCGTCATCATATTTTTCTAATATTATACTATACCTAATAAAAATATTTCCAGTTTATAACATCTTTTCTAGCCAACTCATATCTCAATTGTATTTGCAATTGAGGCCACCTTATTAAATCAATATTTATTTATTTATTTATTTATTTATGAGACTTATATACCGCTTTAAGTGCAAGCACTCTCTAAGCGGTGTACACCAGTAAGCAATGTATATATATATATATTTACATTGCCCCCAACAATCTGGGTCCTCATTTTACCTACCCCGGAAGGATGGAAGGCTGAGTCAACCTTGAGCCAGTGAGATCTGAACCGCTGACCTGCTGAACACAGTCAGCTAAAGTGGCCTGCAGTACTACACTCTAACTGCTGCGCCACCTCAGCTCATACCCTGTTCTTTCAACTCCTATATCAATTTTGATTTCCTTTTGGTATTCAAAATATCTTTGTAGGTTACAATTTTCTCAACATTGATTAAGTTTAGGTGGGCAAAAGCTTCCCTTCTTAAAAGCCATCCTGATAGTTTCATATTTCCCATACCATAAAAAAGTGTACCATCCTAATTGTAAATCATATCCTTCTAAGTATAATGATTTTTTTGTGTCTAAGGGTTATCTATTTCTTTTAGCCGTGTTCAAACACCTATTAGATAGTATAGCCCCCCCCCCCGGTAGGCCAAGTCCTCTATTTTCTTTAATCTTAGCTTTCTTCCTTTGCCAGATAAATTTACAAATCAATGTATTTAAGTTGTCAAAAAAATTTTTTTCTCTGTTTTTATGTGTACTATTTGAAATAGGAAAAACCAGTTAGGTAAGATATTTTTGAGGGGGAGTTCAACCCATTTATATTCATTGAAAAACTCCAACTTTCCTTCTCCCTCAGCTTCTCTTTTCATGTCTTGTTTCCCAATTTCTAACGTTTCTCCTAAAAGCTCTATAATCCATTCTATAAAGTCTTTTTCCTTATCTTCAGGTATGTTCTGAAATCTTGAGGGATGGGATGCCTTTTCCATTTCCAGTATTGTCACTGAGTCTTCCAGGTTTTTCTTTGTTTGCATCAGTCTGTGATTTTCTTCCTTTATATCAGTGGTTCCCAACCTTTTCTATATCCCACACCCCTAGAACGCTTCTGATATATTCTCGCACCCCTTACAAAAGTTCAAAATAATGGCAACGAATTATGCATATACACTATAATTTTGAAAACCCAAGTTTTCGCACCCCCTGGAATATCATCTTACACCCCTGATTGGGAACCCTGCTTTATATCCTCCGTCTTTGGATCAGTTTCCTCTGATTTCTCTTCTATTTTCTGAATTCCTTGTTAATTCTTTATAATCATTTTCTGAAAGTTTTCTAGTTGTGAGTTTGAGTTAAAAACTTGCTCATTTATCTTATCCAGATTGGCTTTAGTCTCATCATAGTTTCTTCTTGAATCTTCTTTGTGTGAAACAATTGCCTCTTGAATTAATTGCAGTATAGATTGCATTTCCTTCTGGAAATTTTTAGCTTTTTCTCTCTGATATACCAAGCTGGGGGCTTTGAGCAGATGCTGGGGATGTTTTTTTACCAATTTTAGCTAGGTGTGGAGCACTCATTTTTGTTCCCAGCCTCCAAGTACTCGGTCAAATCTATTATATTTCCCAAGTGCTAGCCTTATCTAACACAACCAATCTTATAGTTAATACAACAATATACTAATTAAATTTAAATTTAAAATAATCTCATACAATTCTTATAGTCTTTGTATGTAGCCTTTATAGTTCAATAAGTTCCCAAATATAGATCCACCACCAAAAGCAATGTTTTATAACAGTTCTTCTGTCCAGGAATCCAAAAATTATCAATCAACCGATGTCCAAGCACCCTATGATTAGTCCATAAATTTCCCCCAGGCAAAAGTAACCAAAAAGCAATTTTTTTTCTCTCTAAATAATTCTTAAAGTCAAAAGTTAAACTTCAGTCGATGTTTGTAATCCAAGAGGGCCAGCAAGTTTCAAAACACTTGTAGCTCCCACCATGCAGAGAATAGCTCAGAATGTTTTTCTCCGTTGCCAGCTGC